AAAATAGACCTTATTTATACAAAATCAGGGCATACCTGACAAGAACATTTGAAAAGGTCTGAGCAGTGTAATTGGGAGTGACATGGAGAGCCTTCACTCACATCTGGATTGAGAAGATACTTTTTCCCATGAAAGATCACTCAAAAACTAGTTGCTTAAACCCATAAAGAAAATAACTGACCAAACTTATGTATCCCACAAACTCATTGTCTTTATTTAGAGCCACTGGCCCAGGTTTTGGAGACGAGGGCAGGGCAGAATGTCTAGCTTCGCAATAACAAGCCCCTTGTTATTGAGGCTGCTTAGACCATGTTGAGAGCGACCATTTACCCCTCATCTTATCCTGACCTGTAATCTTCCTCGCAGTCCACTGACCTCATATATGAGAATATAAACCCTTCAAGTCCTTGGGAGCCTTCGGAGGTTCAAGAGTTCCTCTGCTCTGGCCTCCAGACCGCTCCCTCCGCTGGACACCAGCAAGAGGGTGAGCAGAAGCCACCTTGAGTGGAGCCTCCTGAGGGAGGCGGAAAGGAAGCCCTGACTGTTGTTTAAAATATATATATATATATAGAGAGAGAGAGAGAGAGAGACTTTAGAAGGAAGGGAGAGGAAGAGAGAGATAGAAACATCAATGATGAGAGAGAATCATTGATCGGCTGCCTCCTGCACGCCCCCTACTGGGGATGGAGTCCACAACCTGGGCATGTGACCCAACTGGGAATCAAACCCTGACCTCCCGGTTCATAGGTCGACGCTCAACCACTGAGCAACACTGGCTGGGCTGACTCTTGGTTTAACAGAGAACCAGAGACACACAAAATACAGGTGCTTCTGCTACTTCCTGTCACGGGAAATGGCAATACTCCTCCATCCAGGTAGTAACACAAAACCAGAAACCTAGGAGCTGGCCTGACATTTCTCCCTTTCTCTCTCTGTAGCCAGTCCCTCACCATGTCCTGTTCATTTCAACCCCTAGCAACCTCCTGCACCACTCTGCTCCTCCATCCAGCCACTCTTAAACAAACGTTTTTGAGAAACGAATAGGTGCCAGGCATGCTGGGTGCTGGCAATGAAAGAGATCTGTCTCCACTTACTCTCTAGAGACTCTCAGTCCAACCCCCAACTCTCTAGTCTGGGTCAGAGCGGCTGCCTAACAGTCTCCCGACACCCACGGCAGCCAGAGATTTGTGGTGTGACAGATATGATCCCCATTGCTCTTGGGTTAAAGATAAAACGTTTTTATTTTCCCTGCCATGTCCAGAAACCTGTAAAATCCGTGTGGCAGACCCCCGCCCCCCACCTCTACAGCCACACGTGGTCCCCACCCTGCCTTCTCTCTCCATCCCAGCCACACTCGCTTCTTCAGGCTGATCCTTGTATCAAGGACAGAGGCCTCCGCCGTGCTCCTCCCTCTGCTGGGAACCATCTTCTTTCCTTTCCTCACCTGGCTAACCGCTACTCACCTTTCATATTTTAATCATATTCAAGAGATGAATTGGGGACTTTGTTCTTGCATAGTGTGAGGTAGCAGGCGTGTAGGGGTGATCCGGACGCAGGTCCCTGCTCTCAAGGAGTTGACGGTGGAGCAGAGGAGAAAGATTGTTTGGAGATGAATCACCTCGAGCAAAGGGAATTTCAGGGAAGACGAATGATCCACCCGGTGGCCATCCTGGCCAAGGATTCGATTTATTGAATTGAATTTGGATAAATTATTTACATACAGATACACAATCTTACACTGGATCTGTCACCAATCTGACCACCCAGGTGTCAGTTATAAGTGCTCGGCTGACCCTGGGTTATCCCTGTGAGTCAATGGAGCAAACTTTTCTAACTTAGCCCTAACGGTTTCTTAAAATCAAAGGAGGTATGGGTGTGGCTTCAGCTTTAACCATTCGTCATGTAATCATTCATTCATCTAACACCTGTTCAGCCCCTTCCATGTGCCAGGCACCAGGGGGGAACTAAAGAAATAGTGAGCCAGTCAATCTTCGCCCACATGGAGTTTACGTTTTACTGGGGAAACCAGATAGTAAACAAACACACAATATAATTTCAGGTGAAGCAAAATAGAAGAGTAAGAAGCTAGAATGTATGGAGAGAATTATTATAGAATTTTTTATAGAGTTTATTGAGAAGTTTTCTCTGGGTGTTCACATTTAAACTGAGGCCTGAATGAAGAGAAGGAGCAAACATAAAGCTGATGATGGCATGGTCAAGGCAGAGAACAGCTAGTGCAAAGGCCCTGGGGCAGTTGTAATGGATTTAAAGTAGGCTGGGACTAAGGAGCGCTCAAAAAAAAAATAATCTTCTTAAGCCTCTGATCTTGCTTCTCGGATGGAAAAACGTGTAGCTGAAAGGCTATAATTGTTCCCACTGGCAGAGAGATGAAAGAAACCGAAGTCGGTGGCTGCACCCCTTATCTTCGCATCAGCAGGGTGAAGCCTGGACAGTCCTTCCAGTCCACAGATTTCCTGGCAACTTGCCTCTGTCACCATCCAGCTCTGTTCTCCAGATCTTTAGAAATATGTTCGCTCCTGGCATTCTAACAGCCTGGCCTCCTTACAGAACAGTCTCCTTAAGGCATCTTGGAACACATCTGAGCCTGCATCAGAACTTACATTTGATCCAGCTACATCATGGTTCATAAGTTGAAATATATAATGATTCTCACTGCCATACAATATCGTACTATACCAAAAAAATGTTTTAAAGAAGCGTAGACATTAACATTCTTTGCATTTGGCCTCTGAATGCTGTTGTCAAAACACAGTTTGATCTGCCCAGCCAGGGTGGCTCAGTGGTTGAGTGTTGACCTAGAAACCAAGAAGTCACAGTTCAATTCCCAGTCAGGGCACACCCTGAGTTGTGGGCTTAATCCCCAGTGTGGCGTATGCAGGAGGCAGGCAATGAAGGATTCTCTCTCGTCATACATGTTTCTCTCTCTCTCTCTCTCTCTCTCTCTCTCCCTTCATCTCTGAAATCAATAAAAATATAACTTTTAAAAAACACAGTTTGTTCTGACAGGTGAGAAGATGAGAGGGTCAGAATGTCTGTGACTAGAACATGAGCACTGGAAAGTCCTCTTTTAATAAGCTCCTTATGACCGTAAGGTAAATAACAGTCTATTTCTTAAATAGAAATGACAGTCTGACACAGTAGTTACTTTTCCTCTGGGAATTAAATAACATATGCACTTAAATGCACGTAAAAACACTGTGTAAATACAAGTCACTGTACATATTAGAGAGAAGTCTCCATCAAGGACCCGTCACTGTCAGAGACCTTCTTCCAGATGCGCCCCTCCCCAAGGCTGAAGAGCGTCCACATTCAATCAGGTGGACCTGGCCAGGGCAGAAAACATAGCTCAAGATGAGGATAATTAGCTTCAAGCTTCAGCAAAAAGCAGGCGTTAGTAAGAAGGCCGGAGCGTTTTTGCTTAAAAGTGCCACCTGTTTACTTTGGTACCGGCAGCCCTTCCTGCCAGATGTGGATGAGTCTGTTCCCGGGGCAGGCAGCCTGCTCCCCTGCGCTCCCCCTCCCCCCTGCACAGCTGGCCCCTCCCACCGAGTTACAATTGGCTTTCGACAGGAGAAACAAATCTTTGCGAAGGCCGTTTAAATCAGGGTTAATTTTGCATTAGTCGGGGACAAGGGTGTTGAGATTGGGGAGAACCTCTCGGGGCAAGGGCCCAAAGGGCCGATCCGCATATGCTCGAAA